TCCTCCTCCTCCTCCTCCTCCTCCTCTTTCTCCACCTTCTCCTTACATCCTCTCTTCTTCCGCGTCCTCCTCGAGCCCTGTTTACTCCTCCTGCCTCCCCCTCCTTTCCCGAGATAACGGCAACGCAATCCTTTTTTTCCACTTTATGCTCCCCGACTTCTCTGATCACGGCTACTCGCCAGGGCAAAGTTGCTGGACGGGCTGGTGTGGATGCGCGGGGCTTGAAGAGGTCCTTGCGGGCTCAGACGGCATGCAAAAATCCGCCGCCGCGCTTGTGCGGCATTGGTTTGTTCAGTGAACGTGGTTTGGGTCGCGGGTAAGTCGCGGGCTCTCCGCCTCCACCTCGAAGGAATGCAAAAGCAGCCCGCTGCAGACGCCAAACAATTTGGTTTGTACACTGAACGTGGTTTGGGTCGCGGGTGGGCCGCGGGTTCTTCACCGGGAACGAATGCAAAAGATGCCCGCCGCATGCGCCGAAACATTTGGTTTGTACCCTGAACGTGGTCGCGGGTGGGCCGCGGGCTCTCCACTTGGACCGCCTGCAAAAGATGCCCGCCGCAGGCGCCGAAAAATGTGGTTTGTACCCTGAACGTGGTTTGGATGGCGGGTTGGTCGCAAGTTGGTCACGGGGTGGGTCGCGGGCTCTCCGCCTGGAAGGAATGCCAAAAAAGCCCGCCGCAGGCGCCGAAAATGGTGGCTTGTACCCGGAACGTGGTTTGGGTCGAAGGTGGGTCGCGGGTGGGTCGCGGGGTGGGTCGCGGGTGGGTCGCGGGTGGGTCTCGGGTGGGTCGCGCGCAGGTGGGTCGCGCGAAGGTGGGTCGCGGGTGGGTCGCGGGCGGGTCGCGGGGTGGGTCGCGGGGTGGGTCGCGGGGTGGGTCGCGGGTGGGTCGCGGGTGGGTCGCGGGTGGATCGCGGGGTGGATCGCGGGTTGGGTCGCGTGTGGGTCGCGGGGCGGGTTGCGGGTGGGACGACGGCAACAAACAACAACAACAATACCACCACCAACAACAACAATTATTCACTGCGTGGAGCTCCCCATACGTGCATCTACTCGCATGGACCTGTCCGCCGTGAATGTCTAAGCGCAAGAGCTTTCGAATATTAACGGGCTTCAGTTGTGACGGTTTGGACATCAATCTAACTGCGAATGAATTGGAGTGTGAATGAGCCTCAGTAGTACGAGCGCGTCTCTGTGCATGAGCTTGGGGCCTCCTGGGGCCTCCTGAAACCTACTGGGGCTTCCTGGGGTCTCCAGGAGCCTCTTGGGACCTCCTGGGACCTCCTAGGAAGGTTTCGTGCCCCAGGAGAGGCGCAATGTATAGCAACATACGTACACAAACCATTGCGGATTAGAGCCACAGGAGAAGGGCAATCTATAGGAACACGCGTAAAACACCAAGGACTCGTGCCCCAGGAGAGGCCCAATATATAGGAACATGAGTAAACAATTTAGGATTGTGTACACAGGAGATTGACCATGTATAGAAACATACGTAGAACATCAAATAATCGTGCTCCAGGTGGGGCCCAATCGATAGGATCATACGTAAAACACATGGGATTGGAGCCAGTCCTGTTGCCTTCTGAGGCCTCCTGCTCCTGGGGCCTCTCGGGGCCTCCTGTTGCCTTCCGAGGCCTCCTGGCGCTTCCTGTTGCCTCCTGGGGCCTCTTATGGCTTCCTGAGGCCATCTGGAGCTTCCTGGGGCCTCCTGGAGCCTCTTGGGACATCCTGTGGCCTCTTGAGTCTTTCTGTGGCCTCCTGGTGCCTCCTGGGACCTCATGTGGTCTCCTGGGGCCTCCTGGAGCCTGTTGGAGCCTCCTGTGGCATCCTGAGAAGAATCTGCGCCCACGAGCCTGGCCACCAAAACAAGCAAACCGATCGAGACATCCTCAAAATCTGGCCCACCTGGGGGGTGAAAATGAGCGCCTCGCTCGAGACATCCTCCAAATCTGCTCCGAAAGCGAAGGATGTTGAGCCCAGAAACAAGCAAACCGCCTGAGACATCCCCACAAAATGGCCGCGAACGAGCCCGTGCAACCACCCCTGGCGGCTCCCCTTAGGGCCACGAGCCTGGCCACCAAAACAAGCAAACCGATCGAGACATCCTCAACATCTGGCCCACCTGGGGGGTGAAAATGAGCGCCTCGCTCGAGACATCCTCCAAATCTGCTCCGAAAGCGAAGGATGTTGAGCCCAGAAACAAGCAAACCGCCTGAGACATCCCCACAAAATGGCCGCGAACGAACCCGTGCAATCACCCCTGGCGGCTCCCCTTAGGGGTGCTGAAACCAGCGCCCCGCCTGAGACATCCTCCAAATCTGATGTGTGTTGAGTAAGTCTGAGTATGAGTAGGTCTGAGTATGATTATGCCTGAGTATGAGTAAGTCTGTGTATGAGTAAGTCTGTGTATGAGTAAGTCTGGGTATGAGTAGGTCTGTGTATGAGACAGTCTGTGTATGTGTACGTCTGGGTATGAGTAAGTCTGAGTAGGACTAATACTGTGTATGAGTAAGTCTGGGTATGAGTGAGTCTGTGTATGAGTACGTCTGGGTGTGAGTAAGTCTGTGTATGAGTAAGTCTGTGTATGAGTATGTTTGAGTGTGAGTAAGTCTGAGTATGAGTAGGTCTGAGTATGAGTAAATCTGAGTATGAGTAAGTCTGTGTATGAGTAAGTCTGAGTATGAGCAAGTGTGAGTATGAGTAAGTCCGACAGGAGGGGAGGAGAAAAGAGGAGGAGGGCGGAGGAGGAGTAGGAGGCGTCCAAGAAATAACAAGAACCCCATCTTAGGATATGGGGAACAACACCATCAACAACAACAAACAACAACAAACAACAACAACACGAATCCGCACCGCGGAATTCCACTTCAGCCACGCACCCAGGGACAGTGAATGACCGTTCGGCCCCCTCACTCTGATATTTGTGTGTATTTATTTGTGTGTCCTGGGGCCCCTGTAATGACGCGAACTTGCATCAGGTCGGCATCGGCCCACAGTCGCCCACTCATGGCCGATCGGGGCACGGGTTCCCCAGCCTGCCCAGGATCGTGCAGTCTTGCGATCGGGGCCGATCGCTGGTCTATCGGCGATGCATCGTCGACGCCAGGTTATCCCCCCCCCCCCTCAGCCGGTCTACTCTTGTCGCCCCCCCTCGCGCGGGGGGGGGGGGAAGGATCTGAGCAAGTCAGGATGGGCATTCTCCTCCTCTTCCTCCTCCTCATCGGAGATATTGTCCTCCAGGGTCTAGGAACCTCACGCCCACGTGACATGAATCCAGGTGGTGGTGATGTGCGTTCTCCCTGCCTCAAGGAATAACAGCTATATATACATATATATATAGATACTGTCGTGGGTCCGCGCGGATTTCTTGGATCGACGCTGACCCCCAATCCTTGCGCGCGGGGTGCGAGAGGGAGGGCGCAGGAGGCGCCGCCACGCGGCCCAGCGTTGATCCAAGAATTCCGCGCGGGGTCCCTCCTCCTCCTCCTCCTTCTGCTTTTCCTCCTCCTCCTCCCTCCCTCCTCCTCCCTCCTCCTCCCTCCTCCTCCTCCCTCTCCTCCTCCTCCCCTCCTCCTCCTCCTCCTCCTCCTCTCCTCCCCTCCTCCTCCTCCCGTCCTCCTCCTCCTCTCCTCCTCCTCCTCCTCCTCGTCCTCCTCCCCCTCCCCTCCTCCTCCTCCTCCTCCGCCCTCCTCCTCCTCCCTCCTCCTCCTCGTGGGGAGCCCCCCGGCCGAATCTCTCCGCCGGGTATGGCCGTTTTCTCTTCCTCCATTGCCCCCTCGCGAGGGGCCCCTGAGAGCGCGTCAGCCTTGCTGGCACGCGGCAGAAACCTTCTGGAGAGGGGGGAAGCTAAGCTCTTCTGGCACCCGGATAGAGCTGCCCGTCGGAAAAGCAGCCTTTCTGGAGAGAGAGAGAGAGAGAGAGAGAGACCCCTCGCGAGGGGCTCGCCAAGTGGAGCCCCCAGCAGATCGACTGCTCGACCCGCTCGGAGCTCGACGACGCCGTGTCCTTCGGAGAGGAGGCCTCCACGCCACGGGATCGGCGCACCGACAAGGTCCGCCCCGCCCGCCGTCGCCGTCCTCGTCCAGCCTCGTCTTCCTCGCCCTGCCTCGCCCCTCCTCGCCCCCCCTCGCCCCTCCGCGCCCCCTCCTCGCCTCTGCCCCCTCCTCTGTGACTTCTTTCCTGTTCGGTGACCTATCTCTCTCCGTCCCCCTCACCCCTCAAACTCCCCCCCCTCCCCTTCCCCCTTTTGCTCTCCCCCCCTTCCCCCCCCCGCAACGACCCCTGTTTGAACCTCGGCCCAGCAACGGTTACCTCCAAAGGGTCGGTGTTGTGCCCTGGGGTCGGTGTTTTACCTCCAAAGGGACGGACCTCCTCCCCTCCCTCCCTCCTCCCCCCACCTTTTTATCTCCCTACCTCCCAAGTTCCCCCCTCATCTCCGTCTCCCGGGCGTCCGCGTCTCTAGCTGCTGGACTACCAGTGGGTGGGCAATTTCTCTGAGCAGTGGCAGCGCTGGGACACACCCAGGACGGTTACGGGCTCAGTTGCTTTGTTCAATCAGCGTTGACGATCGGCGCCGCGGGCGTGTACGCGAGCCCGCGTAGACGATATGCGCGACAAAGCGGACGTCGACTTCAGTAACGTCCTTCTCCTGACATTTTTCAGGAGAGATGATGAATCCACAAGTGGAAGAGCGAGGGGGACTTCATCATGCCGCTCTCACTGCGGCAATTTTGGCAAGAGCGCATGGCGTTGCTACGCACACTCTTTGAAGTTCCGTTTGAGGCGCATGCTTGCGCTTGGGGTGCTCAAGTGCCACGAGTGCTAGATCGCGGCAACCCCCTGTGTATGGGCTTTCGTATGAGCGAATATGAACGTGAGTGATCTGAGTGCGAGTGGGTCTGAGCGTTGGTGAATGCCGGGTGCGCTGGAACTTGAGCGCGAATGAGTCTGAGCATAGCGAGTCGAAGTACGAGTGGGTCTGAGTACGAGTGAGTCTGGGTGTTGGCGCGTCTGGGTGCGAGCGGGTCTGAGTGCGACTTAGTATGAGTGCGAGTGAGTCTGAGTACGAGTATGTTGAACACGATTCCGAGTATGAGCGAGCCCGAGCATGAGGGTGTATGGGAGTATCACTGTGAGTTGGTTCGAGTGTGTTGTAGTGTGGGTGTGGGCGACTTCGAGTTGAGTCGTCTGGGCCTGACCGAGTCTAAGTATTATTGTCTCGGTATGGGTGAATGTGAGCAGTCATGGGTGTGGGTGGATATGATGAGTTAGTGTGAGCGAGAACGAGAGGTCCATATGTGTACGACTGAGTGTGAATGAGTGCGTTTGGATGGGGAAGAGGAGGTGGAGGAAGAGAGAGAAACGAAACAGGTGAGTGAGTAAGTGGGTACGGGGCACACAGGCCCAACGCGAAACATGGGGGGCAGAAGCTGGCAAACCGCCTGAGGCATCCCTACAACGCGAATCGTGGAGTGTCCCCACCTCTGGCGGCGCCCCCTCTGGGGTGCCCAAGTGATCCGCCTGCTATATCGATGTGAGCAGCGGGCTACCAAACGAAAGAAGCTCGGGGCGTGGAAACCGAGTCATTCCCTCAATCTGGGCGCGAAGCGTGGAGTGAGATACCCTCTGGCGGCTTTCCTTGCAGTGCCCAAGTGCTATGCCTGCTATATCGCGGTGGACATCGACCACCAAGCGAAACAAATTGTGGGCGCTTCAACAAGCAAATCGTTAGAAACATCCCCGCAACCTGGGCGCGAAACTTGGAGTGAGATACCCTAATGCGGCCCACCGTTGGGGTGCCCAAGTGCTACTGCTGCAATATCGCGACGAGCATTGGACCGCCAAGCGAGAGAATTCTGGGGCGCTGGAAAAGCAAGCCGCCCGAGACATTTGGGCACCCTGGGCGCGAAAAGTGCAGTGAACTACATCCTGACGGCTCTCCCCTTGGGGTGCTCAAGTGCTATGCCTGCCATGTATCTGCACCGCGGTGAACATTGGACCACCAAACAGGAACACATCGGGGCGCCCAAACAAGCAAACCGCTTGCTAGCAAGCCATAGTGTGAGTGAGTTTGGGTATGGGCGTGCTTGGGCGTGAGTAAGTCTGATTGTTAGTGAGTCTGAGTGGCAGTGAGTCTGTGTACCAATGAATGTGTATGTGTATGATTGAGTCAGAGTGTGAGTGAGTCTGAGTATGAGTGAATGCGAGTCTGCGTATGAATGGGCATGGGTGCACGATGGAGGCGGGTGTGAGGTGAGGCGGGAGCGTCCGAATAACAACGAGAGTCCCATCTTAGGTTATGATGTTCCAACCTACTTCAGCCTTAATCACCATAATGAATCTCGAGCACCAAGAAAACACCTCCAAACCCGAGGGTTTTCACGTGTCGGGCCCTGGGAAACACTCTTTCGATACTGTTTCGACACTAGTTCGACACCCTCTCGACACTCTTCTGGGTGCTCAGAATTATTTCTTGGATGTGTTCCTTAAGTACGATGGGAGCAACATAAATCTTAGGGCATGGGGGATCAACTGCATCTCAGTGTGTCCATATGGCGAACATAATTGCGCACCGCAGATTGAGAGAGAGAGAGAGAGGGAGAGAGAAAGAGAGAGCAAGAGAGAGAAAGAGCAAAGCAACTACAATTCAAACATGTTTGCGCAGGCTGTCACGCGCGGAGACAGCCATAAACATACCCTCGGAAATCCGCGTGGATGCCTTGCAGCGGCGCGGCGCACCCCTTCCCGACGCGCGGAGCGCGCCGGGGGCGGCGCCGGAGGCGCCGTTGAGGGGGAGCGCCAGAACTTCGAACGTTGTATGCTTAGTCAGATTCCCCGGACACTTTTTGTCGCGACCGCAAGCGAGGGCGCCAGCGGCGAGTGAGGTCCGAGCGGGCCGCGCAAGAGCCGAATTGCCTAACGCTGACGGGCCAGCGACCTCAGCAGCGCCCTGGCGGGCGGGCCGGCGTGAGGGGGGGCCGGCGTGATTTCCCGGACACGCGATGTCCTGATTTGTCCCAATATGGTTCGGGGGTGGAGAGGCCTACCCTGACACGTCGTTCAAGGAATTGCCTTTTTTCGGTTGGCGAGGGGGCGTCGCGGCCGTCATTTTTGCGGGTCCAGGTCCGTCGGTTTCGGTCCCAGACCATTTTCACTAAGGGGAGGTTTGCTGAAGGGAGGTTTGTCCACCGCCGAATTCAGATTTCCCGGACACGCGATGTCCTGATGTTTCCCCATATGGTTCGTGGGGTTCTGGTTGTCTTCCTTCCCGCGCCCTTCCTGCGAAGGTTACCTCACCTTTCTCCTCCCCTCCTCCCCTCCCTTCCTCCCCTCACCCGCGCGCAACACATGCACCGCACGTACGTGAGACTCGCGTCTACATACCGCCGCACGCATGCACACTCTCGTAGACGCGCACACCAGACAATGATTGTGCACACCTGGCGTGTTCATTGCATGCATCACACACCCAAGACGTGTACACCACATGCTGGGCATCCACACGAGAGACACACGCCCACATACGACCGCACACGCATCATACACATGACGTGCACGCCGCACAACACATATGCGCAATATTCGCAGGGCGTGGCAGCCGTGGCAGGCGCGCTGCATCATACATCCAATACGTATGCGCACGGTCGTCCAGGCACAGCAGGCGTGGCATTTTCTCGACGCGAGAAGGGGGTGCGCAGGGGGAGGTCCCTGAGCGCGTCGTCTATGCGGGCCATGGCGCAGGGCACGGTAGGGGTGGCAGTTTCTCGGCACCTGTGGGGGCGCGCAGGGGGGGGGGGGTCCCTGAGCGCGGCGTCTATGCGGGCCATGCCGCAGGGCACAGCAGGCGTGGCACTTTCTCGACGCCGGAGGGGGTGCGCAGGAGGGGATCCCTGAGCGCGGCGTCTATGCGGGCCATGCGTGCCGCAGGGCACGGCATGCGTGGCACGTTCTCGACACCAAAGGGGGTGCGCAATGGGTGGTCCCTGAGCGTGGCGTCTGTGCGGGGCATGGCGCAGATCACAGCAGGCGTGTCTCTTTTTCGACGCCAAAGGGGGTGCGCAGGGGGTGGTCCTTGAGCGCGGCGTCGATGCGGCCCATGGCGCAGGGCACGGCATGCGTGGCATTTCCTCGACACCAGAGGCGGTGCGCAGGGGGTGGTCCTTAAACGCGGCTTTTATGCGGAACGTGGCGCAGAGCACGGCAGGCGTGGCGTTTTCTCGACGCCAGAGGGGGTGCGCAGGGGGTGGTCCCTGAGCATGGCGTCTACGCGGGCCATGGCGCAGGGCACGGCAGCTTTCTTGACGCAGTGGCGTGCTGGATGGCAAAAGAGGGAAACATTCGCGACGAGGGTTCAGAACGCAGGATTGCGCATAGATGATTATTAGGAGCAAGCACATAAGATTTAAACTTAGTATGTGGGGCTCCTCGGTAGCGATATTTTCACTGCGGGTCCCTTGATGCCACGACCCTTCCCCAGGGCAGGTGTTCTATCCCGAGTCGTCTTTTGACGCTCCCGGGGCCTGGTGGGGGACCCTATGGGGCCGAAAATTGTCAAACATCTTCCGTCGTATGTTTTTGCACGACGCGAGAATGTCTGGGTGCCCCCTCCCTTACCTATACATTCCTCCGCCCTGGACTCCTTTCCGCCTTTCCGAGTGGCTTTGATACGCCTTGGGGGGTGATTCGTATCGGCCCAATCTGTGCTCCAGGCCTCCGCGTGCAGTTCTGTGCAGAATGTTGAGTGGATTGGCACCGATTGTCAATCTGCATTGCCGTCGTCCTGCTATCATGATCGTGTGACGCACTAATTCCAGTGCCCTGGACTGCGGTGTGCGGCAGCACCTGCGACCCACGAGGAGCGGGCGGGGCGCGTTGCCAGAGACGCCCATAGCGGGCAGCCGCCGCGGGAGGAAGTCATTCCCCTGAGGATCTCCCCAGAGAATCCCAGGGATTTCTCCCAAGGGCAAAAAGTGACGAGGAGATTTTCCTGGCGAAGGGCCCAACCATGTGCAGTTGTGAGTATCGCCGTTGCGTGTATCGCCTCCGGTGGAT